TATATATACGTTTCTATCGCTTTAATAAAAAGGAAATAAAATGTGAATATAAAGTCATTATCACGACACCAGTTAGTGGTTTTGAGATGAAGGATGAAATTACAGTCGACAATGAACAGGCACGATCAAGGTTCGTATAGAAGGACCCGAGAAGGGAGGAAGAGAGAATCGTAGGATTAGATATTACTCGGTGCCGGGGTCGCTCGCCAACTGGCTTTGATATATTACCGAGTGATAATCCTATCTGTGCACAAAGCCAGGACACAATGATACAACCAAAGCAACTGGATGCCATGTCAACTCCATTGCACTTACAATATGTATCCAGCTGTCTGCCAGTGAGAGCACGAGTTGTGTCTAAGATGCTTATAGAGCATAGAAGTAAACACTACACACACTAATATCTGACAAGAACCGAAGATGGAAATCCGTGTTAACGAAGAACGGTCAGCAACTTTGTCAGGAATGATTGCAATGCGACACAATATTATCTCTAGCAATGCGTAAATATGATAAAAATGTAATAACGTGAATACAGTAATATAACATAAATACTAATCTTAGACTTTCAATATTATGTACGTCCTAAAATGAAAAAAATTATCGTTATACTTTTTTTGCTTCTTGTTTTATTTTTTAAATAACTATTCAATTTTATGCAACAGTACAAGTTAATAAACAAATAATATATAAAATTTTACATTTTATTGACCAAAATAAAATATATCAAAAACATTGAAATACAAATTAATCGTATATATTTTTTTAGTACTTACAACATTAATCTTTTAATCATTTATTATGATTTTTCATTTCTAGTTAACTATGGATTGCTCGAAAAAGAAAATTAATGATATAAAATATAAAGTTTTATAAAAAAATATTTTATATTATATTTTATATATATTATTATATTATTATTTATATATTATTATTTACATGTACAGATATTGTAAAATTATAATATTTTCTGAACAACATTTTCGAGAGTCAAAAACATTCACTTAAACGATAATATAGTGTACTTTACTATATAGAAATAAAATTTGAATATATACAGGGAAAAAAATAAAAACATGCTTTAATTTACATTTTATCTCTTCATTTTTTGATAATTTTATTACAATTTGTAATCATATTTAAATTGAAAAACTGAAAAAATTTTTAAATTTGTTTTTGATGAACTTGTTTTCTCCGAATGCATGTGTGATAGAATTTTAGAACATACATAAAAAATTAGTTTTCTAATTAAAAGCATTAAAAATGGTAGATCTAAGACACAAAAAACATATATCAAAAAGAAAATTTAAAAAATTTCATAATTTGAGTAAGTATTATATACGTTAATAAACTTATTATAACACAATTTAAATTATTGTATTAATTTAATTCTGTTATTATTATAAATTTATGTTGTCATTTATTCTCAAATTATAACGACGTTAGATCTTAAATATAGATTCGAAATATGCAAAAGGATGATTATATACGTGAACAAAAGTTCAAAATAATAGAATAAATCTATACATCTCGAGAAAAATAGCTTGGAAAAGTAATGAAGCATTTGTATGCTTGATTAAAATTTCACCTTTAACAATTAAATTTCGCTATAAATCATCATAAATTAATTATGAATCTATACATGCGTGCTTGTATAGTATGATTCAGTTTTCCAAATCCCTGTTTACGTTATTTTGTTGAATTGACACGATATGCAAAGTTCTCTCAATTCATTCCATCGCACAACTTGTATCTCAAAGCGATCAAAAGACGAATGCGCGTATTGCTCATGGGCAACAATGTAGCTCGAATTGATTCTGGACTCACCTCGGAAAAGAGATTGTCGAGACCTCAAGCGTGCTGTGATGAACTGGAGAAAAAAAAAGAAAAAGAGAAAAAATCGGAGTTCTCGATATACATACCGATGTATATGATCGTTCGCAGAGCGCCCCGAGGCCACCCGACGAAATTGCATTCGGAATTTCAATATAGCGCATATCATATTTCAACCTTAAAACGCCGCCAGCGCTGTCCGGGTATTACTTTGAGGTTCCTATGTCCGTAGAACTGACTTTGTCCACCGATTATAGAGATTCCGACTGCGGTAAGGTATACAGATTTGAAATACGAGGGGAAAAAACCGAGAGATGCGCAACCATCTCCCCCCCCCTCCCCTTTCTCTCTCTCTCTCTCTCTCATTCCTTCTCTAACACGATCTTCATCAGAGTAGAGCCAGCCTGTAGGGGACATTAGATGGTTTTCGCTCGGAATAAATAATCAAAAGATAATTTTAATTCCGAATTAAAGCTGGCCTGGTGACTTGCGCTTGTATGCTCGATTGCGATTCAGATGTTATTCTTTTACAAAACGATTTAATCAAATTTTCAGAAAAGTCGATGACTATTAGTATATATTCGCCGGAAGGCGTGCGTTCTCTTAGTTCCAGATTTCTTCCTCAGATTTGGAGATGATTCTGGCTTAGTGAAACGTTAATAAGAAGATCGAATTATCTCTGAGCTTAAAGTTTGTTTACAGGAAATGGAAATTTATATTCTGTTTAGTAAGTTTTAAATTGTTTATACAAATTTTGAAAACTTTATTAGTTACTATTTAACGTTGCTAACAGTTTTATTTGTTATCTTTGATTCTCTATAGTACTAAGCCCTTTTTCTAAAAGAATAAATATTTCACTATATAATTTATTATTATACTATATAATTACTATATAATTTATCATCAAAAATATTGTAGAGAAAAATATTTAATGTTAAAAATTAAAAAGAATTATATGTTAATAATGAAAATAATAATACTGCAAATTTTTATTACAAATTGATTCTAAACTTATTAAATTTTAATGAAATGTGTTATTTTTTTATGTTATTTTTAATGTTATTTTATATCACATTATATTATATTGATTTACAAATTACAATAAATTATGAATTGCATTTTTGGTTTCTTTTTCATATACACACATATATATAATAAATAATTATAAAATCTGAAAAAAATAATACAATTTTAGATATAACCGATAATTAATGAGATATATCGGAGAAAAAGATTCTCTTAAATAAAATACTATTCTCAGTTATATAAAAAATATAATTATTAGTAGCAATGACGTGCTGGGTTATGAACCGATTATACTTTTAAAGCGTATTCTTCTTTTTCTTTCATCGTGTATGTTGGAGAAAAGGAATAATTATCTCGCGGTTCAAATCGGAGGAGAGAAAGAGGAGAAAAATTAATGTCAGTTCGTTAGGATGGTTTGTACTCACATCACAGAATTTAATTATCAGTATGAGTAAAAGTAAATGGCAGCTACGAGGAAAATGTCGATTTAACGAAGGCACAATCATATCGCTATCGTAACGATGTTCGTTAGATGAGATGACCTTTCAAGCAACTTTCATATATATGACGATCTCTAGAAACGATGATAATAATCAAAATATATTTTTTGTTGATATTTGTTTTGTAGATATTTATTTTGTTGATATTTATTTTGTTTTTATTCCTTTTTATTAATGAAAGGTATCATAAACGAGTTCCAAACCAATCTTCCGCTAAGAACTCGACGGAGCGCCGAGACAATTTTCTTCTAAAGTTTACTCGCTTGCGCTTAACGAGAGAGGAGTTTACACGAGTAAAAAATTCTTATTATGACTTATCCACGATCGTCTACTCTGATCGAAATACTTTGAATAAACCAAGATGAGCTAGAATCGACGATGACGAAATTGGATAACTGCGATGTTGTAATTGAAGAAAATGCAACTTGAGAACGTGGATTTCCTTCAAAACAGCAATGTTCTTTTTATATTATTAAGATTATGTATATAAAAGAATGGAAGCGAATTTGATATGCTAGCTCGAAAGAAACAAGAAACTCGCGATATTCGATAGATGTTTGGCACATGATGATTTATCGTCATTGTCATTGGAAAAGAAGAAAGGGCATTGTAATGAAAGGGCATTTGATGCAATCTGAACGAAACGACTATGTCATAGGTAATAAAAACATTTATTCGCTAAATGAAATTGGGAGTGAATGGGAGAGATTGACAAGGGTTTATACATCGAGCCAGTGCAAGATCCCGGCGGATTGCGAGATTCTGGCTCAGAACGTTTCGCTAATACCAAGTCGTTTATCACAACTGGCGAATGGAGAGCTCGTGAGATCGCGAGATCGTCCGACAAGCTGCACGCGGTGTTATGCTACTAAGTTTACCTGAGTTACGGTGATTAATCGATAATAGGTTCCATATGATACGGACGGTACGTTGTCGATGTGCGAAACGACCTTAATCACATTAGTTGATGGTGACATGATCGATATATTATGATGGGACAGGTCATTCCGTTTCGTTCAGCTTAACATTACAGTACACGGCTCCTGGCGTTCACGTCATGCTTATCTTGCTCGCGTATCTGCTATTACGCTCGCATCTACATATACATTATCATAATAGAAGCTAGCTGACTAATTAATCGATCCATGTGCCATCTCCCAATTTCACTTGCGCAGACAAACTGACACTGTGCGTTTCATATTTATGGTCATAGGATGAGTTACAAAACGAGTTACCTACACAGATAAATATCAATATATTTATATTTACACTTTGCTAAAAAAATCTGTCTGCTTTATGCAGTAAACACAATGATACTGTAAACATAAAATATAAGATTTACAAAAATAAATGCATGTTCGTTATATTTGTTCGAATAAATAAATTTGAAAATAGAAGATGAAAGTTATATGTGGAAAAGTATTATATATAATCTTATCGGAAAGATAATTATGTTTGGTTATTCATATAGCTCTTTTTGCTCTTATATCTTTTATTGAGAAAATTGCTAAATGACTTGGATGACTAAAAATAAAATATATTTTTTGGGCGATATATTTTTTGATGTAAGAAATTTTATATTTTCGCATTTTAACAACAATTTTTACTGATTGTATTTATATATCTTGACGTTTGTTACAGTGTGCCATCTACTGCGAGGCGGCGTGGCAGCGATTTTTGGACCGCAGAGCGCACATACGGCATCTCATGTGCAGAGCATTTGCGACACCATGGAAATTCCGCATTTGGAGACACGTTGGGACTACCGGCTTAGACGGCAGAGCTGCCTCGTCAACCTCTATCCTCATCCCACCACTTTGTCCAAGGTACGTATACACAAACTTTAGCCAGAATAATAGCCTCATTAAAGTCGACACTCATCGCGCAAAATCTGTCTTCGTGACCTTTCTCTTCACGGATTTCTTGCCTCTCATAGCTGTTTTACCTCTACCTTCATTGACGAGCAAACATGGCCTTTTAGATTGTGGGATTAACGGTTGTCGCTTTAATCAAGGTAATTTCAACATTTCGTGCTTCTCATTTTACGTTGCACTGTAATTATAATTGGAGTAGCGAAAAAAATGACTGAAGTTTAGAAAAACATCAAATTTTTAATAGAAAAAGAACGTACTATTAAAAAATTATTTATTAGTAATACTATATTTTAGGCATTTCTTAGAATCTCTTTTTTCTTATTTTAATTTATTTAAAAAATTTAGAAAAAAAGAATATGATTAAGATTATTGATTAATTCTTACATTCAGTCAAAAGATTATCGCATTTTAAACCGATTTCGCATTTTATATTACTGTAATTATAACTAGAAGAATATAAAAAAGAAATATCAATGGTGTCTAGAAAAATATTAAATTTTTAGTAGAGGCAAAATATATACAATAAATATATATCACAATATTATAAAATTGTATTTCAGAAAATTATAAAGCTGTATTTTATAAGTTTGAAGTTTTCTTTTCTTGTTAATTAATTAAAAATGTAATTGAAACCATTGAGAAATTCAAGCAATTTTCAGCCGAAAAATTATATTGATTTCATATTTTCATCACGATAGTACAGAAGATATAGTACAGAAGATCACTTTCGCGACCAAGGTGCATTTGCTGTTACATTTAGTTGTATCTGTATGCATCGGGTGCTATACCGACAATGCGGTAGTTCTGAACTTAACGCAAAAGAACTAAAACTTTTTGAATTTCTCTTAATAAGCGCGAAGTTTCGTGAAGGGGATGCGGTTGAAAGCTCCGGTCGCGGGATTGTATAGCTCTCGGGCTTTTTGGGTTAACGAGAGTTCTCGCTTTTTCTCTTCGTTTCCTCTCCTTTTTTCCATCCTCCCTGTCTCTCTTCTCTCTCTCTCTCTCTCTCTCTCTCTCTCTCTCTCTCTCTCTCTCTCTTTCAGTCTATCTGTCTGCCCATCTCTTTGCTTGTTGTTTCATGAATTCTTGCAACTCTTTCGCTTTCTCAATATTTGTCATTCGCGAACACCTGCACCTTGCGACACTACGCTCTTTCTTTTTTGCTCGTTTCACATTCTCTCAATATTTGCCGCTAGATTTGTTCTCTATTCTCGAAAACGTTTTGTTTATTCTCTGTATAGGATGTGGTGAAATCTTGCTCATCGCCCATCACCGAATTTCCTTTTATTTTCGAAAGGGTTCGCGAACAGAAAATAAATATACGCGACTACAAAGTTTTACGCTTCAAACGAGAGAACATTCGTGAGAAAGTCGATAAATCCGTCGCTGCGGGCGAATAAAACGCACAAGCATGTCCCAAAGAAAAGTATAAAAGCTAGCGAAAATGAAATTTTCTTTTGACGTACACATCAGAAAACAATTGCACTTTATTTGTATCTTAAATATGTATCTAATATAATGTATTTACAAAAGAATGATTTCTGCGTAAATATTATACTGAATGTGGCATTAAATTTTATTGACTGTGTTAGAAACCAAGCGTTTAACAATTTTTAGAGATTCATAGAAAATAAAACATAATTAACAGATAGAATTATTTCTACGTGACGGATTTCCTGAAGTTCTTTACGGATTTCGTGAAATATTAATGACTAGATAATAATTTACGGTCGCGTAGGTTGACTTTGACATCCTCGATCAAAGGGCTTTCAGCAATGGTGCACAGAGGACACAATTTAAAAGCCACTGCATACCTAAAGCTATTTGCTCTTTCCTCT